TGACAAAGTGTCTAAGCCAATAATTTACTTGCTTGGAGACAGAGAAGTGAAACTAAATATTTTCTATTCTGCTTATCTCCTAAATTTACTCAGTATTTCCCAAATTAATTTTTAGTATCGATCTGTCTGTAGCTTAGCCAATTTTTATCCTGTTGAGAAGTGTTCCTGCAGTGAAGGGTAGGGACACATGACAAGGGCTTTATATTAGAGGGAATGAGGGGAAAGGTGGGGTTATATTCCAAGGCTTTAGCCACTGGGATGAATCTTTAACCTTTGCATGCTTACAGTGGAGGGAAGGTACCTATAGTTTTGTCAGAAGAGCCAAGTTTGAAGGTCTGAAAATGGAAGTTTGACCAGGTAAGTTCCAGTAGCAAAGGCAATTATGTACATCGTGGGAATCATCCCACAGCCTTTTGAGCTGCTGAGTTGGGGTGTTGGCACTGCCTGCATAGACCAAATCCTCACCGTCAGTCTTCTGGACCCCCGCATCTTAACTCCTCCCATTCAAACACACAGTTCATTGCTTGCCTCTGTTGACATTCATCACGATGATTGATCGATAGTTAAGACCAGAGGGAAAAGGTTTGGTTTGGAACATGGCGTAATGAGCAGGAGGGAGTAAAAGGAACAGTAAGGCACCTGTTCCTTATCTAACCCCTTCTGTTGGGTTTGAGCCCAGAGAGAGGGAAGACTGGAAACCTGAGCTGATGGAACGCTTCACAAGTTCCTTGGTGAGATTCTGCACATAAGCAGTTTGCTTTGGGCCATAAGTAACAAGGACACCTCAGCAACAAGGAGGAGACAACTCGTTCCCCACATCTGTGTAAACTCCAGGAGGGCCTAGTGGCCTGAGGATTAGTGTGTCTAACAGCATCCGGACAGAGTCCCTTCAGGCTGGGCGTGGGTGTTTAGTGATAGGCATTTTCATCAGTAGCATTGGTGAACAACTAGAGTATCTCCGGGAGAACTAACTGAGATGATTTTAAGTAGTGATGGCAGCTTAGAGTGTACATTCTGGGAGACTGCTAAATACTGTCCAAAATAATAGAGACCGTTTCAGACAAGCCTTAGGTCCTGCTATTAATAAGGAAAGGCCATGAGCTACTGTGATTTGGACACTAAAAATTAACATGATCTTATATATTACCCAAAGCCTGGAGTTTCTTAGGTATTCAGATTACATCTCTCAAGGACTCTGTAAATTCTAATAGGGTGGGGACTGTGCCTTATTCATCCTTGTATCTTCCTTTCACTATGCCTAGAACAAAGGAGACTTTCACACAATTTTTATTCAGTGCTACAGGTTAGGAAAGAAAGATAGAAGAATGGAAGAAAGGAAGATCCCTCAAATACAGGTATCCCATCCATGATTAAAGAGAAAGTCTGGGGGTGTATGGGTGACTCAGTTCGTTAAGCGTCCAACTCTTGATATCAGCTCAGGTCATGATCTCAGGGTCATGAGATCAAGTCCTGCATCAGATTCTGCACTAAGCATGGAGCCTGCTTGGGATTCTTTCTCTCCTCCTCCCTCTCCCTCTGCCCCTCCCCCACTCACTCGTGCACGCACGCCTACACGAGTGCCTCTCTCTCTATCTTTAAAAAAAAAATGAAAAAATAAATAGACTAGTGCAGACAGATAAATAAAATTGGGGATGCAAGGTGAGAGGGAGAGTTTGCAGTTTTTCTAATGGCTCTTCTTTGAATTATTATTCAAAGAATAATAATTATTATTACTATCTTTTCTATGAATTACTTATATCAAAAACTCAGGTAGAATAACAAAAGATGAGAAAAGTAAATTATAAATCATAAAATAAGCTTCCCTCTAGATGCTTGAAACCATTGCTTAGCTGAGGAGGAGGAAGACATTTCCTGTCTCTAATTTTTTCACCAGCAACCCTGGTTTCCACTTGCCTATTTCTCAATGTGTGTACCTAGATATCATACCTGGTCACTGCCTCTACTCAACAACAGAAAATGGGAAGATGACATGAGCCAATGAAAGGAAAATAAAAGAACAAAAGAAGTAGAGAGGGGAGTGGGGAAAATGAATGTTTCAGGAAGCCAGGACCTATTATGAAGGTATTTGTCGTTCCACATAGCTGCACAACACTGTCCCCACAGTAACACATATGAGGCCAGAATGTGCTTACAGGAAAGAAAAAAAGATGTGCCTTTCAACAGATGTACAAGATAAGGTCTAGAGACAGCAGAATCCCCTGGAAATGGTGACTTCACAGGAAGACCTGCCTCAGAGGAGACAAGTTTTGAGGTCTAGCTCCCTGAGCTACTGCCATGAGCACCTCTCCTGGGTCCTGCATATGGGTCTTCTTCATGCTCTCTCTGCCATGGGCACCAGAATCCTCTGCTGGGTGGTCATCTGGCTCCTGGGGGCAGGTGAGTTCTGGACTAACAGCTCAGCATCACTGGGCTTTGTCTGTTTTATACCTGTGTCTCAGATAGGCCCTGGACCTTCATGTTGCCCAAGGATTTTCTGAAAGGTATTGACATTTGAATGAGAATGAATAATTGCATCATGGAGTGAAAAGTAAAATTCATGTGAATTTTTACATGAACACAGGAGACTTGAAAGATATTTGAGCTCACCTGGGGTTGCTGCATTGTAAGGCATTCACTCCCTCCACCATTATGACTCTGTCTCACATAATCTCTTCTCCTCTGAGGTCCCATGAATGCTGGTGTCACCCAGAACCCGAGACTCCTGGTGAGAAAGACAGGACAAAAAGCAGCCCTGAGAAAGGACGTAGTTATTTTTACTGGTATCAGCAGCCCCTGGGGGAAGGTCTGAAATTCATGGTTTGCCTCCAGAATGAAAATACCGTAGACGACTCAGGAATGCCAAAAAAACGCTTTTCTACTGAATTTTCCAAAGAGGGACTCAGCATCTTAAAGATGCAGAGTCCCATCCTCCCAATGCACAAACATCTTCCAGGCCCCACCTCAGAAACCGCTGTGGGCTGGGGGAGGGGAGGGGACATGTGGTTTGATTAGCGAACAAATTAGCTAGAAAGCATTTTGCAGGGTGAGCATAGAAATAGGGGAGGGCTGTAGAAGTTTCATGGGACATCCCATCAGGAACTAAGACTGTCACCAGAAAAAGGTAAAGCGTTTTAAAACTGGACCTTCGTCAGGTTAAATATTAATTGAGGAAAAGTTCTCTCTGCTCCACTTAATACTCTATTTCAAGTTCTCTATTGCATGCCTTCAATGTAGAATTTCATTTAATCATCTAAGACAATCAAGCAAAGGAAATATATTTTTTTTTCATTTTCAACATGAGCAAAAGCAAATATGGTTCCAGGAGTTCATTTTCCTTTCTCAAACTCAGAGAGAGAGAGAGAGAGAGAGAGAGAGAGAATACAAACCCAGGTTTGTCTGGCTCAAATACTTGTGCTTTTTATACCAAGCTGTACTACCTCTTACTCTTTCTGGAATAATCCTGGCTTTGTCCCTTGCCTTGTGCCTATGCAGGCAAGGATGGATGCCAGGATGAAGAACTCCTGCTATAGGATCCTCAAAGGTGGTGGAAATAGAGTTGGATAGATTTGTCTGGAATTTAGGAGAAAGATGTGGCCCCGAAATATTTTTAATTAGAAACATATCACCTGGGGGCGCCTGGGTGGCTCAGTCAGTTAAGCATCCCACTCTTGATCTCAGCTCAGGTCTTGATCTCAGGGTCATGAGTTCAAGCCCTGCATTGCACTCCACGCTGGGTGTGGAGTCTACTTAAAAAAAGAGGAAAAGAAAGAAAGAAAGAAAGATAAAAAAAGAAACATTTCACTTCAACTTCTTGTTACCTCAGTGAATTTTTTTTTTAAATCATCATCACTCAACAAACACTGGGAACCTACAGAAAAGTATTGTCCTCACCAGGATGGAGTATAAACCATGTCACTGCACTGCATTTCCTGTTTCTGCCTTTTGATTTTCTTTAATTATTCCACATGCTCCAGTCCTTCCCCTCCTTGCTAGGGTGGAGGAGGATAGTGGCCGGAGGCCAAGAGGGAGGCGGGGGGACACCCTGAGAAGAACACCCCTGAGCAGGACTACAGGAAGCTTCAACAGCACACTCCATGTGAAGCACCAGGCACATAACTTAAAGTGTAGTCTTCCAAACGTACAGCTTCTGAGGGAGGAAAAAATGGCCAAAAGAAAGGAAAAAGGGTCCATTTGCAATTTGGTAATGAAGGGAAAAAAGAAAAAGTTTCTAAGAGAACTTGGAGTTTTCCTGCAAAACAAAAGACAGTCACAGACTGAGGGGACCTGCCCCACCTCCACCATGAACGCTGACCAACCACACCACCAAAACAACCAACCCAACCTGGCCTTTGCCAGAACAGTGGGAAAGGATGCCATTAAGCTGGGTAGTATGTGAAACACCACAACATCATAAAAATGAACAAGAGGAAAGTAAAATCCATAGAAGAGAGCAAATCCCACAGACACACTTTTCACGGACTCCCGCCTCCAAAAATGACCATGAGTCAGAAGAAAATATAAGTCTACGCTCCAAACGGAATTAAATACACTCAAGCAAGCAGGTAGAGAGAGGATAACCCACCTATAACCAGAAGTTAAGAGACAAATGAAAGAAAAAGTTGATTAAACTCAGAGAAGAAAGGAAAGAAAAAGAAAAAATTATCTAAGAAATGGAGAATAAGTGAAAAGATACCTAAGTTAGAATAAACTCAAATGGAAAATTAGTAAGGGAATTGAAGAACGGCATGGGGACATGAAAGTGAATGAAAATGACAGAGAGAAGTCAAAGCAGCCGGGGAGAAGGGGTCCAATGACAGTCAGAGTTTGGCATGCATGCAGGATAGATGAGAGTGGGGCACTATGTGCCCCAGTGATGGGATTAAAAATGAATTCTAGGTTCTTATATGACCCGCGTCTACAGGCGGTCCCAGAGTAATGGAACCATAGAGTAACTGAGAAGGTAGAAGGAGCGGCCAATCGGAGAGAGACTCTGGCCTGAAACTGCCCACCCACTCAGCCCATGGGGAGGCAGTTTGGGAAGGGAGGCCCAAGGGGATGCAAGGGCTTCAGCTCCCCTGTCCGTCTCCTCATCTGCAAAGTTAGGGAGCCCGTCTGGAATATCTCTGGGATCCTTTCCGACTATCCATTCCAGCCTTCGGACAAGTTCTGCATATTAAGCCAGGGGATCCCCAGAGCTAAGTTTCTTTCCTTATTTGTCTTCCAGGAGGTGCTTAGAGCTGCAAGGAGCGCCCCTTCCCATTATGGGTAATCAGGTGATCTGCTGTGTGGCTCTTTGTCTCCTCGGAGCAGGTGAGTCTGGGGTAGGGGAGCAAATTCCTGTCCCAAGGATGTAAAGCTCCAGATCTAAGCCTTGCCCCCCATGACCTAAGCAGTAAGCACCTTCCCGGGCTGTGTTTCTAGAGCCTCTCTTTCTTCCACAGGCACAGCGGCTGGTGGAATCACTCAGACCCCAAAATACTTGTTCAGAGAGGAAGGACAAGAGGTGACTCTGGAATGTCAACAGGATTTTAATCATGACTCTATGTACTGGTACCGACAGGACCCAGGGCAAGGGCTAAGACTGATCTACTACTCGCTGACAGAAAATGATATTCAGAAAGGAGACATACCTGAAGGCTACAGTGCCTCTCGGGGGAAGAAAGCATTCTTCCCCCTCATTGTGACATCGATTCGAAAGAACCAGACAGCTCTATATCTCTGTGCCAGTAGTGCAGACACAGTGAAGCCCAGCCATGTGCCCTCCATGCAGAAATGTGTCTCGAGCCTGGATTTCCCACCAGCTGTCAGGGTTTTGCTGTGTTCAGTGGCCTTATCTGCATGCTTTCCTCCACATTCAACCAGACCCCCAAACAGCTGCTGCCATCAACGTGCTTTGTGGAATGGCACAACACCTTGGCAATCCACTATGTTGGTTCTGAGAATTACATCTATATCTATATCTACATCAGAGAGAGACAGAGATAGAGGGAGAAACTGAGAGAGAGAGAGAGAGAGAAGAAGGAGGTGGAGGGGGGTGGGGGGGAAGGAGGGGGGGGAACGAGAATAGACCAAAGAAAAAATATACGAATTTTACATCCTAGCTCTTTTTACCAAATACTGGAAAACCAGGAGGCGGAGCAAGATGGCGGAGGAGTAGGAGACCTAGATTTCGTCTGGTCTCAGGAATTCAGCTGAATAGGGATCAAACCATTCTGAACACCTAGGAACTCAACAGGAGACCGAAGAAGAGAGTAGCAACAACTCTCTGAACAGAAAAGTGACCACTTTCTGGAAGGTAGGACGTGCGGAGAAGTGAATCCGGGGCGATATTCGGGAGGATAGACGGCGGGGGAGGGGCCTCCGCCGGCCGCTTCTGGCAAGTGCTAGAGCCGCGGAGCACAAAATCGGACCTTTTAGAAGTTGGCTCCGTGGAGGGACGTCGCTGCAGTGGCTAAGCGGGGGGTGGAATCCTCCCGGGACAGTGTGGTCTCAGGACCCTCGGGGTCACAGAGAGACCGGGGGTGCCTGAGTGCGGCAGAGCTCCCAGGTATCGGAGCGGGGAAGCCGGCTGCAGAGACGGAGCAGAGTCGCGGGCTCTCAGCTCGGGGTTGTCATAGACTGTGACCCGCGGCCCAGTCGGGGCACGGCTCCTCCAGCAGGGACCCAACAAGCGGCAGATCCGGGGAGACTCCCCTTCCTTCCCGGGGAGGAGCGGCGCGGGAACGCACTGCAGGGATCTGCTGGGTTTGGAGACTCTGCGCGGGGTCGGGTGCCAGAGATAGCAACGCTCGGTCACAGGCCGGGTGAGCACGGGGCGCGGCCGGAGACCGGGGACACGGAAGTGACTGCTTTTCTCTGGGGGCGCACTGAGGAGCGGGGCCCCGAGTTCTCGGCTCCTCCGGGTAGAGATTGGGAGGCCACCATTTCTGCCCTGGTCCTCCAAGGCTGTACGGAGAGCTTGCAGGGAACAAAAGCTCCTGAGAGCAAACCGGAGCAGCTTCCTTAGCCCGGACCGACAAGGGCGGGGCAATTCCGCCTCCGGCAAAGACATTTGGAAACCACAGCAACAGGCCCCTCCCCCAGAAGATCAGCACAAACAGCCAGCAAGCCAAGACCAAGT